AAAAATTTATATGTTTACAAAGATATTATTAAAATCGTATGGATTAATATGTCCTATTCCGATTAAAACCTTACCACCCTGGATTTTGTTCACATTTTTTGTTATTTTTTTTAAAACAAATACCATCATAACTCAATATAATGCGTAGATTGTTCGTGGTAAATGGTTTATCGAAACACTATATTCAAAACTATCTATCTTATACAAGTTTTCAGCATAGCAGAAACATAAAATTTATGTGGACTGGTTAGTTGAATATTTTGACCTGAAAAAATAAAATTTCATTCAAACCGAACATAGAGAGTAATGCATATAATCCTTTGATATGCAGTATATAGGATTGTGGTGCTTTTGAAAATGCAATTCATAATAATGCAGATTTTGCGTTGGCTTTAAATAAACTATACCGGGGGTTAAAAACAATTCATCATAAACCGATAGTGTTTAATTAATGAATAAATTTCAATACACATGTAAATGTAATAAATATTGGTAATATATGTATAACATTATGTTTTATTTATAAAGGTACATATTTAAATTTGTAGCAACAAATAACTAAAAACAATAATATCAGCAACAATTAAACATATTTATGTCATGTTATTACCATTTAAGCATTTTTCACTAACCAATTTTATTTATTACAAATGTTGCGTTTTTTTAGATTTCGTCCTAAAGGAAAATTATTTTGTTTTTTAATTTATTTAATTTTATCCTCATTGTTTTTCTTTCCTTCTTAATGAAGTCTTAAGTATGTGCGTTCACATTATTACCAGTCATGGTGAATCAGTGTAAATGAGGGTTCGTGCTTTTAATTCATGAAAAGTAAAATATTTTATGTAATAATAACTTCACGTGATGGCAGCAATGAGCAGTAGGGAATATGTAGCGTTTTGTAACTGAGAGTACATTGAAACGCAAAGATTTATTACAATAATTTTTGCAACATGGTATTGGAGAGGAGAAAGCAAAATAATTTTGTTATTCTAATTTAATATTTGATATATAAATTTGTAAAGACTTCTTAACTAATAATTACAATGAAATATTAAAAGTATTATTTATAATATTAAAATGCCCTTTTTAGAAGAAAAGTCTTTAAATACATGTCACTACAAATGTTAACTTATTTATATGAAAATTCTCTGAAAATTTTTGTTTTCTAAACCATTCAAGGATTAAATAAAATAACCACATGACATATGGATTTAAGATGTTAAAAGACATTTTGTTCTGCAATAATACATATTACAGTATTCACAGTACTTCAACTTCAAAAAACATAACAACATGAAAATAAAGTGACACAGCAACAACAAATGCATATAAAATGTAAAAATATATATTTAAGAATTTATCTTAAAGTAACATATAAAATATGTATGTATGTATGTCTAAAAAATGTTTGTATCTCTAAAATTTATAGATATTCATACCAAAATATTTTTCGGCAAAAACTGTGAGGGAGAAAAAAATAATAATAAATTTACATCTTTAAGACAACATTGCTTTAGCATATTTTTTTTAGTTTTGCCGGCAAAATAACATAGAAGAAAAGAAAAAAAACGCACTAAGAAGAACTGAAAAATGTAACGACAATTGTGAACAACAATTTTGGTACAAAATTTTTTTTTGAAAGAAATATATTCTAAAAGACAAATAGTATTGTATTGTTAAGGAAAATACAAAGCAAAAATATATATAAATATAAAAATAAGTATCCTTAAGCTGAAAACAAAAAATTACACAATATGCATTTATTTATCAAGAAGCAGCTGAAAATAAAAGCTTTAAACCATCTTTGAAAATGTTCATATTAAATAAATCTGCAAGAGGAAATGCAAAGAAAAAAATTTAAAAAAAAAAAAAAAATCAAAGAAAAACACAACAAATGTTCAAGTTAAGAAAAGCAGGTTATATTTTTGGCCAAACTCAAAGAAAAATATCACCTACATTTTTTTATTATTATGCAACTATAACTAAATTATACAATGTTTCCTTTAAAAATTTAGTAGGTTGATGACCTTTAGTTCGTATTATCTCAGAAACCACATAAAAATTATGAAAATTTAAAAAAAAATTAAATATGAAATTGTCCTTAAATAAAATTAAAATAACAATTATGACTATTCATTAATTTAGAGATTATTTTAATAAATTTAGAAATTTTTCTAACCTAAATTCGAATTTTCGAAAATTTTTATAACTTTAGAAATTTTTCGTAAATAAATTAGAATTTTCCAATTTGAAGAGAAAATTTCTTTAACATATTTAGAAACTTTTCATACTTTTCGAGAGTTCTTTAATATTAAATATAGTATTCATATATCAGGACCTAACAGGTTAAAGTTCATGTTTATAAATATTTCAAAAACATTAACTTTAAGCCAAAATTAAGCTTTTTATCTTTGGAAAATGTTTTGAGAAATCATTCTCTTGGAATCAGTGTACATTTCTTTTTTTGTTAATGTAGTACATATAACAATTTTTGTTAAATATGTTTCATGTTGTTGGATTTTTATTTTGTCCTTCTTTTTTGTTATTGCTCTTTGCGTGTTGTTGTGTATTTAATGTGTAACACTTATACAGAGTCATGGCATGCGATTAGTAAAGGATTTTCCACACAAAAAAAAAAAGAATAAGAAAATTGAAGCAACAAAAAACAAGAACTTGTTACAAGAAACTAAACTGTTGGTTTGATGTTACACCAAAAAAAGAGAACAAAGTTTATATGCAACATTTTTCAAACATGAAGTTTAGTATGAAGTGCAAAAGGTGTATGTGTGTGAGTAATGTATGCTTTGGTTATTAAAGGGTGTTGTTAACGTGGCAAAAGTTACTGCAAAATATGTGTGGACAAGTTAAAAGTTTGTTGTACTTTTTTTAATTTGTTACTGTGTTTTATTTTAGACTCATGTATACATATAAAGGTTTAAAGTAATGAAAAATATACATATTTATGCTTCCTGAGTAAATATAACATACATGTATGGATGTGTGTGAGGTATGCAATACTAGGTAACTGTCCAGGCAAATAGATATATAGATATATAGATAGATAGATAGATAGATAGATAGATAGATAGATAGATAGATAGATAGATAGATAGATAGATAGATAGATAGATAGATAGATAGATAGATAGATAGATAGATAGATAGATAGATAGATAGATAGATAGATAGATAGATAGATAGATAGATAGATAGATAGATAGATAGATAGATAGATAGATAGATAGATAGATAGATAGATAGATAGATAGATAGATAGATAGATAGATAGATAGATAGATAGATAGATAGATAGATAGATAGATAGATAGATAGATAGATAGATAGATAGATAGATAGATAGATAGATAGATAGATAGATAGATAGATAGATAGATAGATAGATAGATAGATAGATAGATAGATAGATAGATAGATAGATAGATAGATAGATAGATAGATAGATAGATAGATAGATAGATAGATAGATAGATAGATAGATAGATAGATAGATAGATAGATAGATAGATAGATAGATAGATAGATAGATAGATAGATAGATAGATAGATAGATAGATAGATAGATAGATAGATAGATAGATAGATAGATAGATAGATAGATAGATAGATAGATAGATAGATAGATAGATAGATAGATAGATAGATAGATACTAGGACATTCTATTTTACTTGAAACTAATGATGGACTTTCCTTTGTGTACATCAAGGCACTAAAGTGGGATTGACTTCTCTCCACATTATTATTTGTCTAATTGTCGCAATATGTTGAAACTAGTGTCTGTTAATGAGTCAGACAGTTAAACAACAAAGTCTAAAAAGGACATTCTACAAGGAGTCAATGTATTCCTTTCAAAATGCTGGTTACTTACTTCCATATATATGATTACTAAGTATAAACTATGTACATAAACTTCTTACACTTTTTTTTTTGTAAAATACTCTTATAAAGTTCAAATAAAAGTTTAAAAGCTTTCTTCTCTACTTAACTCACAATGGTGATGATGAGGATCATTTTCTATAAAATACATGAGGTTGAAAAAAGGACGTTTATAAGTATTAAAACAACAGCAGTTAGCAAACAAGTAAACAACAAATATTACAGAAGGAAATGAAAAGGAAGTCATTGATAAAAGTTGCATTTGTTGTCTTCTGTTTTTTTTTTTCCTGTGTTAAGTGTTGACATTCTGGGTTCCATGTCTAAACTATGTGGGAAAAATATTAATGCAACTTCTTTTCATACTATATTTAAAATATTAATATAGTAAATGTGTTTTTTAATTAGAATTGAAAACATTTTTCATGCATAAGTACAAAGTTTATGTTTAACTAACTGACTTTAAATTTTAAAGTTTAAATAAAAAAGTGAAATACTGGTTAATAAGTAGGAAATGTATTTAAGCGTAGAAAAATTAAGCAATAAAGTGTATAAAATTTTAAAACTATTCGCTGGTAATATAAAAAAATAAATATTGAATTTGAATTCATATTTATCTTTCTACTATGAACAACAACTGCAATTAGCACATTTATATTGTTATAATTTTAATGCCTAAATGTTAATAAGTAGTGCCAAAACTACAAACAAATAAACACTTTCGTCAAATAAAGTGTTATTTAAATTGTTAACACCAAACATTACCCCCAAATCGCAAATCACTTAAAACAAAATTTCAAAATTATAAAAAATGTTGCTACCCAAAAAAATCACCGAAAAATGCTAAAGTTAGAAGATAATGTTTGCAATGTTGATTCTACATGTATTTTATCCCCTTTTATATTTCCACTAACATTTTTAACATTATAATTGGCTGCGGGATCTATTTATATTTAGTTGGTTTTTCTACTACATATTTTTATTATTTGTTTGCAAAACTATTTTTAACTTTTTACAATTTCCCTCCCAAAAAAATTGTTTTATTTTTTCAACATGTTAATTTTGTGTGCATATTTTTAATATTTGTTCTATCTCTGTCTCTGTATAGCCTCAGCACCAGTTTTGGAACAGCCACCACAGAATGTAACCGCTTTAGATGGCAAAGATGCTACCATTTCATGCCGTGCTATTGGTGCACCAAATCCAAATATCACTTGGATTTATAACGGTAAGTGTGTTGTCCATATAAATATTAAATATTTGTAGTTTGAACAAAAATTAGAGGGGATCATTTTTATTTATAATTTGAAATTAAAAGGAGGATGTAAGTTATATCATATTCGTAAAAATAAACCTATTGTCTTGCGGGAATCGAATCCATGATCATCAGGCTGGCGGACTAGAACACTGGCAACTAGCCTACCCCTATATAGGATCTAGTATTCTATAAAGTATATAGGATTCTATGAATCACTTTTTGTCGAAAAAGTCTATTATTTTGTACTAACAATGTCAATAGATCGATTATCTTGTAAATGTTCAAAAAACTTCAGCTTTTTGATCCAAAAATCTCCAGTTTTTTTAAATATTAATGGATTAAAAAAACACATACATATATATATATATAGACTAGACTATAGACTAGATTATAGACTAGACTATATACTAGACTATATACTAGACTATAGACTAGACTGTAGACTAGACTATAGACTAGACTATAGACTAGACTATAGACTAGACTATAGACTAGACTATAGACTAGACTATAGACTAGACTATAGACTAGACTATAGACTAGACTATGGACTAGACTATAGACTAGACTATAGACTAGACTAGACTATAGACTAGACTATAGACTAGACTATAGACTAGACTATAGACTAGACTATAGACTAGACTATAGACTAGACTATAGACTAGACTATAGACTAGACTATAGACTAGACTATAGACTAGACTATAGACTAGACTATAGACTAGACTATAGACTAGACTATAGACTAGACTATAGACTAGACTATAGACTAGACTATAGACTAGACTATAGACTAGACTATAGACTAGACTATAGACTAGACTATAGACTAGACTATAGACTAGACTATAGACTAGACTATAGACTAGACTATAGACTAGACTATAGACTAGACTATAGACTAGACTATAGACTAGACTAGACTATAGACTAGACTATAGACTAGACTATAGACTAGACTATAGACTAGACTATAGACTAGACTATAGACTAGACTATAGACTAGACTATAGACTAGACTATAGACTAGACTATAGACTAGACTATAGACTAGACTATAGACTAGACTGTAGACTAGACTATAGACTAGACTATAGACTAGACTATAGGTTAGACTATAGACTAGACCATACCTCTAGAATGAACCACGGTACCATAGTATTTTCTGAAAAGAAGAACTGAATTTTAAATGCCTGTTATAACAAAATTATACTTTTCGAAAATTTCACTAACAAGAAATTTTTGTTTTTTGATGGGTCATTTTCATAAAATATAGATACATATGTATAGGATAAATATGTAGGATAAAGGTTTTGTCAACAACTTTATAATTTCCATGAAACCTTATTCATTACCACTAAAAGATTGCCAGGAATATAAAACAAAATTTTATAAAAACTTTTCATCTAATCGTGATAAAAAAATTAAATTGAATTTATAATTTCATCAACCAAACAATATTGCATGAATTTGTAATTTTTTCAGGCTGAAATGTAACTATTTTTGTATAGTACATTTAATAAATGTTCTTTACTAATCTAAATAATTTTTTTCTATTATTTTTCTATTTCCTTGCTTAACATTGTTGTTTGCCTGTGTTCCAACTACTACCACTACTACAACACTAACAAAACTCTACAAAATAAAATCCCGCAAAAAAACCTGGTAAAAAATTATGGTTTGAATTAATGCCAAAATAACATACACCATAACAAAAAAAATATAATGCAAATCCAAAATTGGCCTTAATGGATCACAATAATACATCCAAAAAACATACTATATAAATGTGTGAATGGGTATTGTGTGTGATAAATGTTGGTTGGTTGTTCGTTTGCTGTTTAAATTTGCAACAAAATGTTGTAATATTGGTTGTTGGTGTTGATGGTCTATAAAAAATATAAACTTAACGCGCTTGCAAAAAAATAAACTAAAACTATAATTTAATGCTAAACACACATGCAATGCACTACAATAACTAAATTGACAATTGTGCAATGAATATTTTTGTTATTGTGCACTTGTAAATTATGGCAATGAATTGCCAATGTCGCGTAATATTTACCACAAATCGCAACGGCAACATCTTTAACGACAACATGGACAATGACAATAAAACATCAAATACACCAAATCCCCACCTGTTTGGAAAATATACTCATACTGTTCTATATGTGGCAAATGCAATTTTGCAATGTTGTTCATTCATGTTGTTGGCGGTATTTTGTTGATGTTGGCAAACAAAAATGTCTATCTCACTAAACTAACCAACGAACCGGAATTACAATGTTTGGTTTATGTCCCTACAACAAATACTGCAACAACTATTGTCTATTACGTTAAAATATAAAAAATACGCACATTGACACCAACATCGTCGTCGTCGTCATTGCAATCATCATCATCAACACCATTGGTTGGCTTTTATATCTCCCCAACATCATCATAACACTTTGAATGTTACGGGTACTTGATATCAACAACAACAATAAAAACAACAACATCATTAATTCTGTTGGATGTAAACGGAAAAAAACAACAACTAAAATTGACTATGTGCAAAATGTTGCCAACTTTACACATTTAAATATTGCACCATCCCTAAAATTTCTTGCCACATTGCTCTTTACCAAAATTTCTATGAATAACTCGTTGCAATTATACCACAAATACTCCCCCAACTGAACTCCATTGCCACCAATACCACCAACTCTATCAACTACTGAAACTACAACCATCATTATGATCATCCGACAATTACAATTAAAACAGAAACACAACTTGTTGAGATTTCGAGTCGTGTACAAATACTGGAATCTGGAGATTTATTAATATCAAACGTACGCGAATCTGATGCTGGTCTTTACACTTGTGTTCGTTCAAATGAAGCCGGCACTGTTAATGGTGAAGCTTATTTGGGTGTTTTGGGTAAGTACAATTTGTTTTCGCCTTTTAACATATAAACAGATACAGATTCAAATGGTACATTCATTCGTACTTATATAGATATTAATAAATCTGTATGCATGTTGTACTTATGAGTGTTTATTTGAACTGTTGAGCATGCAAATTTTGCAAGTTTATGTTAAAATTATTACTGCACACTCTCACACATTTGTTTTTATGTACTTTTTTATACTTTTTAATGTTATAATAACAAAATGAAAATTATCATGATTTTTATACCCACCATCAAAAAAGGTGGGGGTATATTGACTTTGTCATTCCGTTTGTAACACATCGAAATATTGGTCATAGACCCACAAAAGTATTTATATTCTGGGTCCTCATTAAATTCTAAGACGATCTAGCCATGTCTGTCCGTCCGTCTGTCTGTCTGTTGAAAGCACGATAGAGTCCGAATGGAAAGAGCTAGAGGATAGAAATTTCACATAAATATTTCTTATAGGTAAGGTTTGTTTGGTATTGAAAATGGGCAATATCGGTCCACGTTTTCGGATAGCCCCCATACAAGTGGCCCCTCGAAAAGCAGCTTTAACAGACATAACTTGTTTAAAAATACGAATATAGCGATGAAATTCGACATAAGTAAGTTTCTTGTGATCCAAAATCACTATGCAAAATTTTATGAGGATCGGTCCATAATTGATCCTACCCCTCATATAAGGTCCCCTTCAGAAAACGACTTTAACGCTCATTACTGGCTTAAATATACTAGTATATAGATGAAATTCGACATAAGTAAGTTTCATACGAGTCAAAATCTATCTAAAAAATTTTATGTTGATCGGTCCATGATTGACCCTACCCCCCATATAAGGTCCCCTTCAGAAAATGACTGCAACGCTTATTAATCACTTAAAAATACGAGTGTAGCGATGAAATTCGACACAAATAAATTTAATACGAACCAAATTCTGTCTACCAAATTTTATGAGGATCGACCCATAATTGACCCTACCCCCTATATAAGGTCCCCTTCAGAAAATGACTGCAACGCTTATAACTGGCCTAAAAATAGTATTTAAATTTCTAATTTAGAGTTTGATCAAAATCATATAATATGGATTTAATTTTCGAACAAAATGTAAACAAAAATAAACATTATTCCCATTCTGGACCCCCAAAACGATCTATTTACAATCTGCTTTTGACTTAAGCCAAGGAGAGATCGAGGATAATGCAATTTTTGTCAACATATTTTTTTAATCAGTAATGTTTGAATGTATTAATATTAGATCAAAAATTGATCCTAAACAGAGGGAAGTAGAATATATCCTACACATATTTAAACTGTCAAGTCTGCCAAGAAACCTTTAAAAGAATTTTTTTATTATTTTAATTTAGTTACCTTTTAAATAATTATAAATTTGTTCAAATCAATTCCTAGGATCAATGGAATCTACAGCCAAGAAATTAAGTTTCTGAATTATTTCTTTCACAAATTTGAGTTCTGCGATTGTCGTTTGTGATCTGGACCGATTTCCAAAATGTTATTTTATTAGTCATAGCGGCGTTATGAGACCGTTTAAACGAATTCCCTTATTCTATAATTACTTAAAATTTAAACTTTTAATAAATATTAGGTTAAAGCATATACAATTTTAAATAGCACAATAATACTTAAGAACGTTGACAAAGATCTATCATATAATAGAAAAGGCAATATATTAAGTACACTATGTTCTAATAATTAACTATTCAATTCAAATAATTATAATAAAACTAAACTTGATCACAATTAACCATTCAATTTAATCCAAAAAATCCCATAAAAATCATGCCTTTTAAATGAATTAAGACTCTATGTCTTTTTAAAACTTAAACACTTTCCCTCCAAGAGTCATATGTATTTACATTTTAAAATTAGTCACATTACTAGAACTTATATACGACTCATGCTGATGTTAGTTGAATGTGTTGGCAACATCGTGCGTGTATTATAACTAATCCTGTCTCTAATCATTGTTGTCACATCTCTCTACATGTGACAATTTTTAATTGTAGTTTTTAGCATATTATTTTTTAAGTGATTTTCTGTGGTTGTTTTGCCATTGTTTGTTTTTCGGTGTCCTGGAAAAATTTTAATTGGATTTCAACCATGTGATTATGACATTTAATTTGCTTTTTTTTGCCAAAATGGGATGTTTTATCCAAAAACCAAAAACTGTTAGTATTCACATTTCATGATGATGGTGTAGCAATAACCAAGATATTATATATTTTTTTGGCAAAACATATACAGAAAAACACAAAAATATGCGAAGCAATTTAGAAAACAACATAGAAATTGTATAATTGGTATTTGCTCACACAAATTAAGAGAAATAAGTTTGAATTTGGAAAAACTAGGTTACATTTGTAGTTAACATTTTAATAAACAATACATTAATATTTTTAAAGTAAAATGTCGGATTTAAGAAAATAATTTGTAATTAAGGCAATTATGAAAAACTTTAATGTTAAAAGCTTTTAGTAATATTTGAAGTTTTAACTAAAATTAATAAAATAAATTTTAATAAAGTAATTATCTGTAGTTTAATAGTTCAACATTAAAATACATATTTTTGTTTTGGTAACATATATTTTTTGTATAATAAATCCATATTTTGATTTACTATCACTGTATATGTCATCAATATGTTAGCTGCTGACAAACAATAGATTTCCAATCTTTGAAAACTTTTTTGTTTAATACTCTCATAGCCATATATCAAATTTCAACACAAAAAACACAATATTATCCATTTTTCTATTGTCTATATATATTTTTATAACAAATTTTTTTATAACTCTTTCTCTCCCTCCCAAAAAACAAAATACGAAAAATATAGTGCGAACACAAATCATACAGCCACCAGTTGACACTACTGTTCTTTTGGGCCTAACCGCATCGTTGCAGTGTAAAGTCTCTAGTGATCCAACAGTACCGTATAATATCGATTGGTATCGCGAAGGTCATCCAACAGCCATTAGTAATTCTCAGCGCATTGGTGTACAATCGGATGGTACTTTAGAGATACAAGCTGTAAGAGCTTCGGATGTTGGCACCTATTCATGTGTCGTAACCTCACCGGGTGGCAATGAAACGCGGTCGTCACGTTTAAGTGTCATTGAACTGCCATTTCCACCAGCTAACGTAAAGGCAACACGTCTAGAGACACCCGAACAACGAGCCATAAATGTATCATGGACACCGGGTTTTGATGGCAACAGTCCAATATCCAAGTTTATCATACAAAGGCGTGAAGTATCCGAATTAGGTAAGTTAGTTTTTGGTTGTTTCCACTTTTTTTTTTTTAATTTAATACTTTTGTCATCATGTTGTTTGCATGAGTCTCTGTCTGTATGTGAATAAGTGTGTCTGTTGTCGTATGTGAAAATTGTTACTGAATAAGTTCGTTTTAAGGGGAGCTTTTTTATTATGTCATTAGCCTTTTTACTTTTGCTTTTAAAAGGATAATAAATATGTACAGAATTACATGCCTACATTTTAAATATACAGATAAAAAAGTTTATTTTTGTTTTTAGTTTTAAACTTACGTTTAGTGAAAATATAATATGTTTTTAGTATGATGTTTAAAATTAACATTATTATGGTAATATATTTTGTGTTATATTGTTGCAAGATAATATGTAACACATAAACTATAAAAACTTAATTTTACAAAAAAAAAAGGTGAAACTTTTGTTAGCCTATTTTTGTAGCCGTTTATAAGTTTGCTGAGAAGCAAAAGTAGCAATCTCAAGTATATTTTCAAAACTACGTACATTTTCAAAAATAATGAGAAGTATATTATTATTGGCAATCAATTGTTATACATCTAAGACCCACACATATATACAGATCTAACCATGTCCGTTCGTCTATCTGCTCAAATCACGATAGGACCTAAACGGGTGGATCTAGAGATCTGCAAGTACAAAAATTGGTCTACTCCCCCATACTAATAAATTTTAATATAATATTCAACAAAAAATATTTTTTTTTCAAATTCTGTAGAGTTTTATCGATTTCTATATAACAATACACTTCAGCATAAATTTAATAAATGTCTAAATTCCTTTTGATTAATTACATAAAGCATAGCATTCAGGGGTTCTAATATGATACGATTATATTGCCATAAATTGTATTTACTTAAATTAAACAACCAATATTTTTTATGGCCCCATATCTTCGATTCGCTTATATGTTATTCGTAATATATATTAAAAATTATATACTTCCATAAATCGTAGTCTTTTTAGATTTCCTGTGAATTTAACAAAAAATTTTAAATATTTTTATATTGTAAATAAAACTATTATGCATTTTGTATAATTGTAAATCACTGCTATTCAAAAATATATGTATGTATAATTTAACTGTATGTAGTAATTTCCTATAAATGTTGTACTAAATGTGTGAGCATGTAATGTGTGGTATGTATAGTTATGTATGTACTAATTTGCGGTCACAAGCAATAACAGCCTAAATCGTCCTAAAAACAAGTTGAAGACGCCTACAAATGTTAAAGTTCAAACTTACAACTAATACTACAGTTAGTTTGATCAGGGCTATAAAATACAAGCGGTAGATCGTGAAGACCCGAAAGTGATAACACTACTTCTTATTTAACTAGATGCCTTGATAGAACAAACTGCTATACTAAACGTTTTAAAGAAATAACAATACCGCATTGTATATTGGTTTGTCCTCAAGTAAAAGATCGTCCCGATACTATGAAATCAGTAAATCTCAATGCTTAAGATACTCAGTAAGTGGTCAAGGAAATACAAGCTACAATCCATTACTGCTTTGAAAAGTTTAAAACAAATTGTGTCATTTTACAATACTATCACATTTATGTGAAATCCCTAAAAAAAGTTTTTCTAAAGGAAAAAAAATGGATTTTTCAACTTAGGCCGTTATTGCTTGTACCCACCGATTTATAAACATGTAATTTTGTTTGAATGTTTATAGCTGTATTCAAGAAAATCAGTTTATTTTTACAGCCAACAAATTACTAAAGTTGGAAAAACAAAATTTTATGTTTATTTATTGTTTAGAGTTTCATTTAACAAACAATAGAAAACTATACAACAACAATTTATTAGAGCCATAGTTTGTGTGCGCTTCTTTTTACAAAAAAAAAAAAAAACAAAATAAAATAAAACCAAACACAAAACAATAACTACAACAACAACATTTCTCACCAAAAATGATTTTATGTTTTTTTTTCTTTCTTTTTTCTCTCGTTTTGTTACAATTTTGTTAAAATTTTGGTTTTACTGCAACAAAAAAATATATAAAAACCAAACAAAAAAATATGCACAACACATACTGCAAAACATTTTCATAATATCAACACGAAACAACCAAACAACAACTTGGAACGGCTGCTTCTGGTTATTCAACTCTTTCTAAACTGACCCACAAAATAAATAAAAAAAATAAATAAAATCACTACCACCCAACCTTCATTTACTACAACACTTTATGTATGACCTTTCCAACAAACAAAATTTTAATCTATATTTTATTGTTTCAAATTTGATTGTCTTCCTTTAAACTACAATTTGTTTGTTTGTGTTTTTTCTTTTTGCAAACTGCTTATGATTTATTATCCTGTTATTCGATTAAAATTCACTTTTATTTTAAATTGTACTTTTGCACGGTTTATTGCTTAAAATTGTTTTAAAATTTAATAAATCCTCTTTTAATACTCTACCACTTCCTGTTATCCTATTCCTATATCAAAATAAACATTGATTTTTCAAATTCATTAACATCATCAGAAAAATTCGTAGGTCCTGTTCCAGATCCTCTATTAAATTGGATTACCGAACTAAGTAATGTATCGGCGGAACATCGTTGGATTTTATTACGCAATTTAAAAGCAGCGACAGTTTATCAATTTCGTGTTAGTGCTGTGAATCGAGTTGGTGAAGGTTCTCCCTCTGAACCAAGTAATATTGTGGAATTACCACAGGAAGGTAAGTTTATTATGCCAATTTTTTTTATTTTCATCTATGTATGCATATAATTTGTTTTTAATTTAGCTTTTGTATATATTATTTTTTTATTTTATTGTATTATTTTATGTTAAGTTAACTGTTGTAAAGTCAAGTTTCTTGATACACGTAACTGGACTTTAACTTTTACTGAAATTTTTGAAAAACAAAATGTGCTTTCATTCTCAACATTGTCATAAAAAATGTCACGTTTAGAGCGGGTTTTTGACATGGTAATCAAATGCCAATTAATAATCAGATTAGTTAATCTAAAAATAAATTTAATCTTATGTTAATCCCCTTTGATGTTTTTGAGTACAAGATTAAACTTCGCAGTGTTGCCATACAAAACAACAGAAAACTTCACTGTTTGTTATCAAAACAATGCATATTTTATAAAAAAGAAGAAGACAATTGTAAATTTAATATGAAAATTAATGAAAACTTAAATTAAAAACAAAAAAATGTATTTTGAAGTGTCAAAAAATTTTATTAATTTTTTTTGCATCAGCTGTTTACACTTTTGCATTTCGTGCTTAAGATTAAACCACCTCTATTGGGCGCTTAAACTTGCAAACAAAATTAACTAATTGAGTACTCAAAAACATCTTTCGAGGATTAATTTTATTTTGATAGCTAATCTTTCACCTAAAGATTAGCCCTTAATGTTTTATTACTGTTTTAGTTACTGTAAAAATGGTTTAGAATAAAAGAGTATGCAAAAGTGATAGATTTTAATGTCCAGCTTATGAATTATATAGGCCAATACAATTTTAAAGTCGAAACCCATAAAACTAATGGATTGATCTGTGCTGAATAGGACTTCTTTAATTATAAAGTATTTTATATCATCTAAAAGTCAAATCTGTCGACTTTAAAATAAAAGTTTATGTATGTACAGGGGATCAATTAAGTAATTTGCCTATGTAAAATTTTATAAATTTTAAGAAAAAAACTTTATCTGAACAATTATTTTTAGCAAGATAAAGCAATTTGTTTGTTGTACTTTTTAAAGAATATCTTATATTTTAATTTTCTACCATAAAAAGTAAAATCGTGATATTAATTAACGAGATTTTTGATAAAATGTGAACGTATTGTTAATTTTTAAGGTCAATAAAGTATTTTGCTTTTTTTGGTTTTTTGTTCATTTTTGTAATATTGCTGCATTATTTTATAAAATTTAATATTTTTATTACTCCTATGTATTAGAATAAAATTTTAGTAGTGGAACGACTAAGTTTGGACATTTTTTAACCGATTTATTATCCTATATACCTATAAGAATTTTTCAATATTTGACTTAACATGAAATCTATCGTTTCTTTGATTTAATTTCGAAAATAATAAGTAATTTTGAATTGGATACATGATATATTAGGAAATCAATGGACTTGGACCTAGAAAAAAATTTTAATGGGGTATAAATCTATAGATTATAACAAATATAATCTGGGTTTTGGTCATTTTGTATTGATAAATAAAAACTACATTACGGAAACCCCATCTATTTGGGGAGTACTGTGTGAATTTCATTTAGAATTGTATAATATTGATTCTTATTCAATAAAGCTAAGTACCATCCTAGCCACTCTAAGTATGGGGATATCACCGTTTACCACTATAGAACTATTACATGCTAGAATCTTGATATTCTATCTCATATTTTCAATGCATTATTTTATGAATAAAATACAGTAGGCGTAGTTGGATTTGGATAGTTATTCTTGATTTGGGTTCTAACTATATATAAGTGTATGTATTAGCTGAAAAATATTGCTTTTGTGGATCTTAGGTGATGAGAACAGCCTCTATTTGTAAATATCTAAATTAAATATTTTTCCCGTACCACACGATAGGTCACTTTATATTGTTTCCAAGCAACCTATGGTCTGTTTAGAGGTCTAAATTCAAACATAGTATTCTTTTAAGTTCGTATATGGACTTTGGAGAAGAAAAATGAGGACTTCAGTGGTTTTTGCTTGGATACAAGTCGCTCTCCTTTGGCAGTTAAAGATTTTGAAAGACAACTCAGTGCGTTTTTTTTTAATAATTCTTTGTGTTATTTCATCAATTTCTATATTTTATATTTTTAATGATTGATTAAACATCTCATAATTGAATTTCATTGATTTATACTTGTTCTAAAAATATAAACTAATTTTTTATATTGGAATTGCCTCAGTATTTCCCTTTAAACATTTTTGACGCAAATAACTACACAGTTTCACACAATAAGGATATGATTTTTGAAAATTACAATTGAAAAATACTTAACACGTGTCCTTTTAACAATAAAACAATAAATTCCAAAAAGCAATTAAAAAATAATTTGAAAAACCCAACGAAATTAACTGGAAATTTCAATATGCAAAATACTTTATTGACGTGCAAATTCTGATGAAAAATAATAAAATGCAACAACAAATGCACCAAAATTTTTATTTTAATATTTTTTCTTGGTTTTCCCATTCTACATAATCTCTATTTTCAATTGGAAAACATAATTTTACTTTTTACCTGTTTTTTTGAATTTTATTTATGAAAAAAAAAAAACAAAATTCTCTTAAAAAAAGGTAGGCAAAAAACTTAGTTGATTCACTGTATATCTTCTTCAAAATATCTTGACATACATTTTCCATATCTCGAAAACCTAAAATTGTGATTAGGTTTCAGCGTAGCTCAATCCGTCTTTTAACGACTTTTTATTTTTGTTGATCTGTTCAGTGTTTAGATTTGTATTATAGATTTGTATTATTTAATGGAAATCTTGCAAAATTTAACTTCCACTACAAAAGACATGGAACATTGAAAATCGTGAAAGAGTACTACTTTATGGCATAGATCTCTTAATCCTTTTAGTTTCTTTTGTTTGTCTTTCTAATTTTTTTTTTTTTGTATCATAATTTTGTTATCCTGTTTTATTTCCAAAACAAAAACTATTAAATAGTAAAATAAAACCTAACTAATGCTAAAATATAAATTCCTTTTATCTGTATTCCGTGCACTGGCTCTGTGGTATTTGTAAAATATGTAGAATTACCGCTACACCGAGGTACATATTGTAAAAAATAATTAAATTCTTATTACGAAAAAGCTTGTACAATTAGTAAAATAAAAAATAAATCTTTACCTAACTAAAAACTAATTCCTATAAAATCTCTTTAAAATATGTAGCTCCCTCTGGACCTCCAGTTGGATTTGTGGGTTCTGCTCGTTCACAATCGGAAATTATTACACAGTGGCAACCGCCATTGGAAGAACATCGTAATGGCCAGATTTTGGGTTATATTATACGTTATCGTTTATATGGTTATAACAATGTACCCTGGATGTATCAAAATATTACTAATGAGGCTCAAAGAAATTACTTGATACAAGAATTGATAACCTGGAAGGATTATGTGGTACAAATTGCTGCCTACAATAATATGGGTGTTGGTGTTTACAATGAAGGTGCTAAGATTAAAACAAAAGAAGGTGTACCTGAAGCTCCCCCTACAAACGTTAAAGTACAAGCCATCAATTCAACTGCTGTTAGAGTTAGTTGGACACCTCCAAACCCTCAACAAATTAATGGTATAAATCAAGGCTATAAAATACAGGCTTGGCGTTATCAAGCTATAGACGGTGAAGACCGGGAAATTGAGGAAAGAATGATAACAGTACCACCTAGTTTGCTGGATCCCTTAGCGGAACAGACCGCTATACTCAATGGTTTAGAGAAATTTCAGGATTATAATATAACTGTATTATGTTTTACCGATCCAGGCGATGGTGTCAGAAGTTTCCGTGTGCCCGTTAAAACTAAAGAAGATGTGCCAGATGAAATAACAGCTTTACATTTTGATGAAGTTTCCGATAGATCTGTAAAGGTTTTATGGGCTCCACCGAAAAATATTAATGGTATTTTGACGGGTTATACAGTTCGTCATCAGGTTAAAGATCGTCCCGAAACTATGAAGTCAGTAAATCTTACTGCTGAGGACACACAATTAGTAGTGAATCAATTACAAGCTACTACCCATTATTGGTTTGAAATAAGGGCTTGGACACGTATTGGAGGTGGTCCTCCTAAAACGGCTACTATACAATCTGGCGTTGAACCCGTTCTACCTGAACCTCCTACAAATCTAGCTCTATCTAATATTGAAGCTTTCTCTGTAGTTTTGCAATTTACCCCAGGTTTTGATGGCAACTCCTCAATAACTAAATGGAAAGTGGAGGCTCAAACAGCTAGAAACTTAACATGGTTTACAGTTTGCGAAATATCTGATCCAGATGCAGAAACTTTAACCGTAACCGGTCTTACACCATTTACCCAATATCGCTTACGTTTAAGTGCTACCAATGTAGTAGGTACGTCAAAAGCTTCAGAACCTACCAAAGATTTCCAAACAATACAGGCCCGACCAATGCATCCACCATTTAATGTGACAGTAAGAGCTATGTCAGCCACACAGTTAAGAGTACGTTGGATACCTTTACAACAAACTGAGTGGTTTGGTAATCCACGTGGTTATAACATTACTTATAAGCAAATTGAAAGTGAAAATAGAATTATACCCAAGAGTGTGCTTATAGAAGATCACACTGCCAATTCTCATGTTTTGGAAAGTCTTGAAGAATGGACGGTATATGAAATTGTCATGAATGCTTGTAATGATGTGGGTTGTTCGCGTGATAGTGCAACGGCTGTAGAAAGAACTCGGGAGGCTGTACCATCATATGGACCTTTGGATGTTCAAGCCAATGCTACATCCTCCACCACCATTGTAGTTAGATGGGGTGAAGTGCCGAAGCAACATCGAAATGGACAAATTGATGGTTTTAAAGTGTTTTACGCTGCTACAAATCGTGGAGGGCATGTTTTACATAAAACCATATCAAACAATAGTTCATTTACAACAACATTGACAGAATTGAATAAGTTTGTCATATACCACATACAGGTATTGGCATTCACAAGACTAGGAGATGGTGCTTTAAGTACCCCACCTGTTAGGGTACAAACATTCGAAGATACTCCAGGTGCCCCCTCGAATGTTAGTTTTCCAGATGTATCATTTTCAACGGCGCGTATTATTTGGGATGTTCCTGAAGATCCCAATGGTGAAATATTAGCCTATCAAGTTACTTACTCATTGAACGGTAGCTCGAATTTAAACTATAGTAGAGAATTTTCACCATCCGATCGTACTTTCCGCGCTACCCAACTTTTAGCAGAGCGTTATTATATATTCAGTGTTACAGCTCAAACAAGATTAGGATGGGGTAAAACCGCTTCGGTATTAGTTTATACAACAAATAATCGTGAGAGACCACAACCGCCCTCAATGCCCCAAATATCTAGATCACAAATACAAGCACACCAGATAACATTTAGTTGGACACCAGGCAGAGACGGTTTTGCACCTTTAAGATACTACACTGTACAAATGCGTGAAAATGACGGACCCTGGAGTCTTTTACCGGAGCGAGTAGATCCTACACTAACCTCATATACCGCTACAAATCTAAAGCCTCATACTACCTATCAATTTCGTATACAAGCCACCAATGATTTGGGACCATCTGCATTTAGTAGAGAAAGTATTGTAGTGCGTACTCTATCTGCTGCTCCTTCGGTATCAGTTACCAATCTTAAAGTAGTTCCCATAACTACTACATCAGTGCGGGTACAATGGAATGCTTTAGAAACATCTATGTGGAATGGTGATGCCACTACGGGAGGATATCGCATACTCTATCAACAACTCTCAGATTTTCCTACTGCTTTGCAAACTACTCCCAAAACAGATGTTATGGGTATTAATGTTAATTCGGTAGTTTTATCCGATCTTCAGCAAGATCGTAATTACGAAATTGTTGTGCTACCATTTAATTCCCAAGGACCAGGACCTGCTACACCACCTGTAGCAGTATATGTAGGAGAAGCTGTACCCACAGGAGAACCAAGAGCTGTAGATGCTGCCCCAATTTCAAGTACTGAAGTACGTTTAAGATGGAAACCCCCTAAGCAAAGTATGCAAAATGGTGATCTCTTGGGTTACAAAATATTCTATTTAGTAACAGATTCTCCACAAGAACTAGAGGATGGTAAAACATGGGAAGAAGAAATTGAGGTAGTTTCGGCCACTGCTACTTCTCACAGTTTAGTGTTTTTAGATAAATTTACTGAATATCGTATACAAATCTTGGCATTTAATCCTGCTGGTGATGGACCTAGATCATCACCTATTACGGTCAAAACATTGCAAGGTCTTCCCAGTGCTCCACAAAATTTAAGATTTGAAGATATTACTATGCAATCCTTAAAAGTTTCCTGGGATGCACCCAAATTCAAAAATGGTGAAATTTTGGGATATTTAGTTACATACGAGACTACAGAGGAAAATGAGAGTAAGTTTTAAAACGCAAACACATTTAAAAGAGATTTATATAATACCTACGATTTTATTACAGAATTCAGTAAACAAGTTAAACAAAAGGTTTCTGGTACCAGCTTAATGGTACAAAATCTGGAAGAAGAAGTCACCTATACATTTACCGTCCGTGCACAAACTATTGATTATGGACCAGCGGTTAGTGAGAATGTGACAACTGGTCCTCAGGAGGGTTCTCCGGTTGCACCTAGAGACTTAATATTATCTAAAACATTATCCAGTGTAGAAATGCACTGGTTAAATGGACCGTCAGGTCGTGGACCCATATTGGGTTATTATATTGAAGCTAAAAAACGAGGTGAGTATTTTATTTTGCTTTAAAAGGATATATTTTGGAATTTGGCTTAATTTAATAGTTTATTTTTAAAATAACAAAAAAAAAAAATATAATAATTTTTTAGCAAATTTTTTATTCCTATTTTTTTTTTTTTTTTAATCTTAGTTCGATAAGTTGTATTTTATTTATTTTTTTACACTAATTAGTTAATATATATTTCACTTGGGCTTTTACTTTTAATTTGATTACAAAAAAACTTATCGAATCAAGTTTTTGCATTCTTGGTATTTTTATCTATTTATAAAACTTTTTAAATACTGGTTATTGGTTTTTTATTTATTTTCTTAAAACCTCTTATTTCTTCCTATTTCTAAATTTAACTTTGGTGTGCTGAATTAAAAATTAAACCTGCTTTTATAGAAAGAGGAGAACCATCATTTATTTGTAAGTATTGGTCTCGAAACGGAATATTATTTGTAGTTTATTGAAAACCATAATCCAAGTATTTTCATTTAGCTAAACCAATTTTGAACTAATAATCTAAACCTTGTAGTTGGCCTCATTAACTTATATATTTTATTACTTATAACAGTTTTTATTAATATAAAAATTTCCCTTTACATAGACGACTCCCGTTGGGAGACTATAACGAAAACGACCACCGGCACAATACAGGACTTTACGGTCAGTTATCAAAGTTTGTTGCCATCTACTGCCTATACATTCCGTGTTATTGCATATAATCGTTATGGAATATCATTCCCCGTCTACTCTAAGGATTCCATATTAACGCCATCCAAATTACATTTGGAATATGGTTATCTGCAGCATAAACCTTTCTACAGACAGACATGGTTTATGGTTGCTCTAGCTGCCACATCTATTGTTATAATCATTATGGTTATATCGGTATTATGTGTTAAGAGCAAAAGTTATAAATATAAACGTAAGTGTTTTAAGAAATTATGAAACTGTTAAAATCAACTAGAAAGTTTCCTTTTTTATATTTCAGAAGAAGCTCAAAAAACTTTAGAAGAATCTATGGCCATGTCAATTGATGAGCGTCAGGAGTTAGCTTTAGAATTATATAGATCAAGGCATGGTGTAGGTACTGGTACTTTAAATAGTGTGGGTACTTTAAGCAGAGGTACTTTGGGTACAATGGGACGTAAGGCAAATAATCGTCCGCCACCTAATATACAATTGGGTAAAAGTCCTCCACGACCTTCACCTGCCTCAGTAGCCTATCATAGCGATGAAGAGAGTCTAAAATGTTATGATGAAAATCCTGATGATAGCAGTGTTACGGAAAAACCATCAGAAGTTAGTTCATCGGAAGCATCACAGGTATGTTTAATAATAAAATTGTAATAAAACTAAATTTCTCTTTTTTTAACTTAAGTTCGAAATTAACAAAATTTGAAATATGAAACCCAAGAAGTAAAGTGTCTGACCCTGAACTCAGAATTTCTCTAGAACATCATGTTTTCGAGGTTTATTGTCATATTTAATGCTTTATAAAAGCAAATTTTAGCTTAAGCTAACTTGATATTAAGAGTAATTTCTGAGGTCAAATGTGGTTTTCACGCTGGTCAACCCTTTAAAAAAAAGTATATTCGGGTCACTGGATAAAAAATTTGATAGCTTGCGCAATATTCAAAGCTCTAAAGTTCGAAAATGTTGATATTTTGATCTTTTTACATAATTTTGAATTTTATCAATGATGAATGCAAAATTTTAGCCCTAACGTGCTACGGAAACCGATTCAAAAATTTGAAATTTATTTGTTTAAATAAAAGCTTGCAATATTTTGTATAAACTGTAGAAACATGAAAATATTAACGCTAAATTTTCTTTTTATTTTCTAGCATTCGGAAAGTGAGAATGAAAGCGTACGCTCAGATCCTCATTCATTTGTCAATCATTATGCTAATGTTAACGATTCCCTGCGACAGTCGTGGAAGAAACAAAAACCAGTGCGTAATTATTCCAGTTACACAGACTCTGAACCTGAAGGTAGTGCAGTGATGAGTCTCAATGGTGGTCAAATTATTGTTAATAATATGGCCAGATCGAGAGCACCACTGCCTGGTTTCTCATCTTTTGTCTGACAATCTACAGAGTTTTAAGTGTAAACATACGTACATATAAAGATGATATATATGTACGTATATTTTGTTATCGATTAAATTTTTTTTCTAAAACAAACACACATACACATCCATACATAAATTAATTACAAATCATTAAGAGAGAAAACAAAAGCAAAAATCATATTCTATTTGTAAGTGAAAAAAATTAAATGAAATTGTCTGCCTATTTATTTTTAGTGTTTAATTAGTATTTAATCTAAGAGATCTAACGAAATTATTAGTTTTATCTATAAGTAACAAACAAAAACGATAAACTGATTAAATATGTAGTATACATTAAAGTATATGTATGTAATAATTATAGTACCAGATAATAGCATTCATCTACTTATTTTCCATTCTTTTTTTAAATTAATTTTATTAAATGTTTTTATAAGTTCTCTTTTTGTATAACTATGTAGGTACATACATGTGTAATTATAGTTTAAATTTTAAGTAAACCGTACTATGACAAAGTTCAAATTTGAAAATTTTTAAAAGCTATTGTAAATGAATCAGATAATGAATACTCTTCTATAAGATTATTTATTAAAAACTAAGCTTCATTTAATAGCTTTTAAAAGTGAAAGACAAAACTTTTATCGCTTAATTGTATTATATATTTATGATATAAAAATACGTACGTTTAAATTGACCTATTTAGAAATGTGTTCATATTACCCCTAATCGACCCTAACTAAATTAGTTTAGAGAAAATGTAACATTTTAACATGGATGCAAATTTGTAAAGTATAATTCTAGGTAATTAAAATTTTAATTTTATTAGAATTCTGTTATTTTTTTTTTTTTTCACATAAAAAATATTCAGATTTCGAATTAGAAGATTTTATTACAAGTATTTATTGCATGTAAATGTTATTAATATATTTTGCTAAATACAAATTACCAATCATCTAAAGGAATAAATCAATTTGAGAAGTAAATAAGAAAACAATAAAACCTCTACCAATTTCTTTTTCATAAACTGTTTTTTGCATCGAAAATTTTTTTAAATAGAATTACATAATAGATTTAGAGGAAAAATTCCAGCTTTTGTTTTACATTAACTTCTTCTAGAACGGGTACAACCAGAATTCATATCCTTTAACAAGAACCTTAAAGTATTTCTTTTAATAAAAAAAATTACAATTGATTACAAAACTTATTCCAGAACCATTCTATGCAACGAGTGTCGACTCTATTACTATTCCATAGTACCATATCCAAAGGTGATAATTTTAAACTAATAAATATCTAAACTATGAACTAAAAGAAATCCATTTTTCGTTACATTTCGAGACAAACTTTTAAGTCGCAACTTTATCATAGTTTTGTCGAAGAAAATTATTTTGAATTGTTAAGATATCTCTTCAATTTGCAGAAATATCTTCCGTTGAAGTTTTTGCAGTAAAAGATGTTATCAATAGTAGTTGAATTTTAAAGCATATTTACAATCACAAATAATAATTTTTCAAAAACTAATTTATTACCTTTAAAATTTATATCACAGATGTGGACTTATTTGCTGAATATATTGCCATCAAAAACTAATTTTCATCCAAATCTAAGATAGAGAGCAACAAAACGTTAACAATATGTAGTTCTCAATAGAAATTTTATATGAACAAAGTATATGTAATTATATTTTCAATAAAAATTTAAAAGTAATTTTGATTTTTCTCTCAACTTAACTAGTTTAGTTATGGTCTTTTAAAAGCGGTTTAAAAACTTTATATTAATAAAAAAATTAAAAATCCCTCTTCTAGCTTTTGATTTTAAAGTATTTTTATCCTTTATAATAACAACAAGCTGCAAGAATACTATGTATTATATTCATATTTTCTTCATTTCATAGATTTCATTTTAGTCACAAAATTCCATTCCGCTCAAAAAAGGAATTGTTATATTATTGTTATTCTTCAGAATAAGAAAACGACAACTTTTAACTTTTAATCCACATATTTACTAAAAATAATTTCACTATCGATTGGAATGGAAGTTTGTGACAATTTTTGCAATTTTTTTACCGAATAAAAACTATAAAATGTTTATATAAAGGTTTAAATAAAAAATACGTTAAAATTCACAAACAAAAGCAAGAAAGGGTTTAAATATTACAAGTAGTGTCGCTGTTTTAACGTATACAATTTTAAATTATATGTTTTCGAATTTTCATTTATAAAAAAATCCCCAATAATAAAACGATAACAAAATATTGCAATCACTTTGAAATTGTTTACATTATAGAGATTCGCAGTTATATTGGACATTAGCTCATTAAATAATATACGTAGTATATATATATATGTATTAAGCATAATTTTGGGACTTAATGAATTCAGATTAAAAGTCCTACCAAATATGTCTACTAATTTAAAAGTAATTTTATTTTATATAACAAGAGTGTGTGATCAATTAAACTGCAAATTCACTCATAAGAAAAAACAACTAAATAAATGTGTATGTATGTATATGTTTAAACTACATTTTCAAACTTGTGATAATAGTACTTTTCTAAAACCCCTGAAAAAAAAACTAAAATATAAATAAAAAAATATTTTGTAACCCTTTTTTCATAATTTTTATTTAATTCAACACTTCTTTTGTTTTAGTTTTGCTTGTAAATTTTATTTTTAGATTTAAGATATAAACGACCATGAAAATCTCATTTATTTTTTTTTTTTTTTTTTAATTTTAAGTATTTTTTTTATAAAAAAAATGTAAATATTTTTAAATGTATTTTATAATTAAACAATTTTTTACGGAAAATCCCACACAAAGTGCAGCTAAAATAATTTTTAAAATTACGTTTAATATTTTTGTATTTATTCTTTATTTTATAAAAAAAAAATAATTCAAGTGCTTTTCATATTATCAATGCCTTTTTAGTTAGTTTTTATTATATATTTTTATTGTTTTTCTAAAAATAGGCCATAATTTGAAATGCAATGTAGTCTCATTAAACCGATTTTTTTAATTTTTATAAAGAAAAATAAATAAACAATTAAAATGAGTCTACAGACTGATTACTGTATGTATTTTAAATAATAATGTGTAAATGTAAAGTGCAACCATTTGTTAGTATAATTTTATATTTTAAAATTTCATATTAACTACTTACAGCTAAATTGCTCAAATAAATAAATCTACTTGAAGTTCTATTTTATTTAACCCTACTTTAAGTAAAATTTATAATTAAGTTTATTTTTTTTAATCTAATTAATAAGTTTTCTTAGTAAATAAAAAAATAATTTAATGTAAAGAATAAGTATTAAAAAACTGTACTTGAGAAAAAATAAAATAAAAACAACTGATATACATATAGATACGTATGTACTGTTTTAATTTTTACCAATCAATATTAAATACAAATTTAAGTTTACTTTTATTGAAAATTTAATGTGTTAGATGGTTTTTTAATGCTTCTGTTTTTATCGTTTTTTAAAAGAAAATTCATAAAGAAAAACTCGAATAGAAAAATTACACATTAAAGAAAATTTTAAAAGTACCATTCGAATAATGAAAGAATTAAAAAATTTCTATGTTCAATATTATAGAAAAACTTAAAAAGTATCAATTGAACGAAAAAGTTCCTTCTTGTAGATTCTCATTACTCATTCTCATACTGAGGTCCCTAAATGTTAAATTTTATATTTTTATATGTTATGTCATTAGCAAAAAAGTCTCTTTTATAAATTCTCATTTAAAAAGGACTTTGTTTCGGTTCCCCACTCTAGAAAATTCGAAAGATACAATTTGAAAAATGAAAACGTACCAAAGAGTCTTCTCTTACAGATACTTATTCTGTTAGGACCCAGCATGTTAAAGTATTTGTTTCTAAGTTCAAGATTGTAGTGACATTTGAAGGACGAAAAAGTATCAAAAAGTTCGCTATTAAAAATCTCATTCAGTGTATGTTCAATAATCTTGTGTTTTAGCTTTATATTATAGAATATATATATCGTCACCTGAAACGAAACGCAAAACGCCCTAACTAACAAAAAATTCCAAATCGATTTTATTATTGATTCTAATGTATTGCATCAAAACAAATGTCCACACCAAAAATTGGACTCCTCCGACCATAATTATCGATTTTATTGACAAAAAACAAAAGGCCCTATCTACAAAAACATTTAAATGTTAAAGGTAAAAAGTTCAATTTATCCATTTTTTTATAAGCCATTGTAAACTATCATAACAAGTGATAGGTTCCACTATTAAGCAATTTGTTTATTTACTACTAATAAATCGCGTTGATAGAAAAAAACTTTTTAATTTAAATAGTTTTTTGCTTCTCCTGTAAAATTTTTAAAATGTTAGATAGGGCCGTTTGGTGACGTTTTAGGTGACGATATGTAAGTACAAAAATTATTATTTGAAGAAGATACCAAAGAGTCACCTCTGATATATTCTCATTTAGTCATTATAAATTGTATGTATCTAGGTTTGATAAAACGAAAACGTTCCAATAATTTCTCTCTTATAGATTCTTGTTCAATCAGGGACGTGTAGATTATCAATTTACCCTTTCCGCACAGGAATAGGCTTCTCCAGAATTAAGTTTCTAAAATACTCTGTCAAATATGTATACCACAGATAAAACTCAAACGACGCAAATCTGCATTCATTTGTTCCAGAAAAATTATGTTTACAAAAAGTACCAAACAATTTACCCGAATTTGGTCCTATATATAGCTTTTGTGTAAGTAAATTAACTATTATTCTTTTTTTAATTTTATAAAAATTAGCTCAATGAATAAATAGGCGATTTTATGTCATTAGTATGTGGTAGTATTTTTTGCTAAGTAGAAGTGACTCATGTGGAAAACCTTTATTAACAGAATACCATAAAACTATACAGACATAAGAAGTCTCATTTCGCCACAGTTCCATAAGATCTTGAAGTAGACAGCACATTAATCTAGACTCAAATTAAACATCGATTTTTATTTGAAACACCTAAAACACTCCAATTAAGAAAATAGTGAAAATTTGAGATCACTTTTATTTTACCTCAGAAATCGATTTGTATGTGAAAAACCTAAATAACGAACCAATTGAGAAAATAATGAAAATCTGTGATCCATTTTCCATCAAAAATCGATTTATATATCAATACCGCAAAATCAGCTGTAGATCCTTAAACAACGCTCCCATTAAGAAACTAGTTAAAATCTGTGGTAACTTATATTTTCCATCAATAATCCGGTTATATATGAAACCCCTAAAATCGGCTGTAGATTCTTAAATATCGCTTCTATTTTCATCAAAAATCAACTGTAGATCCTTAAATTACTCTCCTATTAAGAAAATCTCTGATCACTCATATATTCCATCAAAAATCGGGTTTTTATGTGAAAACCCTATAATCGGCTGTAGATCTTTAAATAACGTTCCTATTTAAAAAAAATAGTGATAATCTGTGATCACTCAAATTTCTATAAAAAATCGACTTGTATATGAAAAACTTAGTCTGTTGTAAATCCCTTTAATAACGCTCCAATTGAGAAAATAGTGAAAATCTGTGATCACTAATATTTTCCATGACACATCGATTTTTATATGAAACACCTAAAATTGGCTGTAGATCCTTAATTAACGCCCGAATAGAGAAAATCATCAAAAACCAATTTTCATTGAAAAGCTTAAACCTTCGTAAATATTTCTTAATAATGCCTTAAAACGGATGTAGCTTCTTTATACGCTTGCAATTTAGAAAATCGTGATATATGTATGTATGTAAGAGGAAGCTAATCGAAGTGACATACATATCTTAAACTTTGTAAAATTCGGAACGTTTGGAAGCTTAAAGAGTTATATGGATTATATTATGATATTGTTTTATTAAAATTGGAATAAATAACAAATTTATTAATATATTGACCAAATTACGCACAAGAGGTATGTTTTCTCTAAGGCAAAACACTGTTCGCGTGACTAAGATATGAGAAATGTAGACTTGATGCTCCAAGTACTAAATCCACTAAGATAGGATTTACATTCTGACATGGACATTTAATATAAAATATAATAAATAATAGAAAAATGCACTTACCTTAAATAAGATGACACGGATTGTAACAACCATATTTATTTAAATATTTTTCCACGACAATCGACAACCAGTTCTTCGCGAACAACGACCACGAATTATCACCATAGCTTCACAGATTTTACACGAGTCGCTGCTACAACAATAACCAATTTTTATTTTCTACTATTTTATTTATTGAATAGTACTTAATTCACGTTTATTATTTATTTAAATTCTCACTTTTTAAACTTTAACACTACACTTGTTCTACAATCACATTCATTGTAATTTACAGTTATAAATGGCGCATTCAAGCACGTTTAACTTTGCTCAAGCACGGATGAAACTAAAAAGGCTGCCATATTATTTTAAATCTATAATTTAAGTGGTGATGCCGTACTTTTTACTTTTATTTGTTATGTATGTAAATATATTGAATAAACGACTTCATTCTGTAAATTAATCAAACGGAATTTCCATACAAAATTGTGATTACGTTCTTTAATATACATCTATTGCAATATAATTGTTTACTATGTTTTCTTTTATATACTTACTGTTAGCTTTTGCTTGTTATTTTGATTAATCTGTCAAGCTTTGTTGCATCAAGCATGTTATCTTACAGTCTTTGTTTTTATAAACAACACACACTCGCAAAGAAGTTAATATCTTGATGTACACAAACAAATTGTCAATTTCGCAAAACATTTCGTATAGTAAAATTTCCAATTAGACCGTGAATAACGCAATTTAAAAGAACAATAAATTTACAAAATAAAAATGAAAAATACTTTCTAGACACTATAAGGACAATAAATATTACATTCAAACATATAATGGGACAGAATCAAAGTTTGACGGATTCTCTCCCTGATGTGGATAGTGTCCATATGCAGGTCGTTCGTCACACTAAAGTGTTATCGGAAATAAATTCCCTAACTTACGAGGATTTTAAAACATGTCTGGACAATTTAAATACACTGTAAGACCATTAACAAATTTCATTAAAATAACTAATTGTATAATTTTTATTTTATTGATTTTTCTACATATTTCCATAACGTAGTTCTCGCAAATGTATTGATCCCAATGGCAAGCAACTGGTGTTTTTAATTAAACGTGGTACTGACACTTCATTGTTATGGAAAGCTACTGTTAAAATAGCATGTATTAAAGTGGATCCCCAGACACGCCAAATACATTCCTATAAATTTTTGAATCTTAAACAATTCTTATGTGTATTTAAAACTTTTCAGTCGCATTTGGAAAGTTTAGTAAGAAGTGAAAATCAAAGAGTAACTATATGATCATTACAAATATCTTCATATTTATATGAATATTTCTGGTTGTAGGATATAAGACGTGGCTCGCAATCTACACCGGAAGATGAGGAACATTCGAATAATCTTGATATGACGACAAACTTGCCGCAACAATTTACCGCTTCAATGTTTATGAGTGCTTTGGGCAGTAGCACTGACAGTGGCAGCGGCTTGAGTAGTCCAACGACATCTACTTGTTCTCACAACGATCATGTGGACGAATGTTCTATATGTTTGGATCGTTCAACCGAAGTTATATTACCTTGTACGCATAGCTTTTGTACGCCCTGTATAGAGCAATGGTAAGCAATAAAACAATAATTTAGAACTCTCCCGGATTAGATATAAGATTTTAAATCATTCATTACATTTTTATACCCTACACCAATCAGAAGTTATTCTGAGCTTAATCTACTCAAAAAGTGATTCTGATCCGTTTTGTGAGCAAGCTACAAGTAATTTGATAAATTTAGACTTCTTCTTTTTGTCCAAGGACAAAATCGATTGAAAATGGACCACTTTTTATCTAAGCCCCATACAACTGTATTTTATGATTAGGACTTTGGAGCTCATAATATTTTTAACCATTGTCCATATAAAACTTCTTGCAGAAAATCACTTTATTATCAAAAAATTATTAAAATATTTAGGATAATCTACATTTTTAGCATACTTTTTATTAAGAGCCTGTTTCACTAAAGGCACATGTTCTTATTTATAATGAAAGCAAGAAATAAATTCAAAAATGTATTTCTTGCAAAATTTTGTAATTTAAAAGTTACTAAATTATATAGTACAATTAGTAATATTTTTAATTAAAATTTCTTTTTAGGAATGTTAATAATAAAACTTGCCCGATATGCTGTGAAACTTTGGAAAGTACGGATGATACTTGGGTCATGTCGAATATACCAGGTGTGGAGGAAATAAATGAAGAAATTTGTGCAGAATTCATGAATTTAGCTGCTAAAGAGCAATAAATAACTAAAATGTTAAGAATCTTAGCTGGCTTAATTACAACCATAAATATTGGAATATAGCCATAGCAATAATTTCATTCTACAATGAACAAACCCAATTCCTCATACTACTACATTTTCCTAAATGTAATTAATATTTGCTGTTTCTTATATGCAGCGATTTAAAAAACAATGTTTAATAATTTATATTTATATAAAAGTTTGTTTTTATGTTATTTGTATTGATATTTTAACAATATATACATATATTTAAATTATAACCCGAAAAACTGGACAATTTTTCATAAAACTTTTGTTGTGTATTTTAAAAAACAATACATAAAGTACAAAGTGTATGATGTTTCATATATAATTATGTTTTCTTAATCTTGCATAAACGGTTTATATTTTAATATAACTAGTATTTACAAGATACTTTATTAGTACTTGTATGTTGTATTTTTGTGATCTTAATGCTACTTACATACATACGTACAAACTACAGCTGAAGCAATTACATATAAATAATTTTCTTTCTAGAGTTATCTTATTTATAATAGTTTTAAATTAAAATACATTAATGTTATTTAAGGATGAGTCAAAGCATTAATAACAGGAATTTCCGTAACAGCTTGTCATCAATTGGCACGTCTTTTTATCGTTACTTTGCCCTTAGCTAAATGAGACATATTGATTTTAACTTTACTGCTACTACTGTCATTTACTTTTTTCACCCATACCTGTTTTAATAATTAATACTGATATTAAATTTGTTAATAGAAAAATTTTAAATAACTTACCACTTCGTTGCCAATAGCAGTGATTGTGGCAGCAAACTTAGGTAAATCTTTTCCTTCTACATAAATCTGCTGACCACGATGAAACCAGCGTTTTTCATACAATAATTTTCCATCTTCTATGCGAGTTTCAACAAAGTGACAACCATTATCGGAAGTAATTGAGTTTTGTTGGTGGTTATTAGTTGAATAAGAACTGCCAATGCCATTTTGTTGCAGAGCTTAAAAAAAATAAATGTATTTGTTAAATTAAACTATTTATATGTTATACAACAGGCATGGAAAATTAATAAAAGTACTAATTTACTTTTACTAGTCTAGTGACTAGTCATTGGACTAATTTATTGCCTATTGATTGACTGTCAATGGAGAAGTATATTGACTATTTTATGGGTTAGTTTATGAGTCTATTAATTAGTCCATGGATTCGTCTTAACCAATCTACTGTTTTAGTTGTCAAAGGTACTGAATTTTCCATGCCCGGTAATCAACTTACTAGGAGTAAGAGGTTTGCCTCTTTGAATTGTTTTCAAATCATTATCTATATCCTTTTCATCCAACATATACACCAATAACTGCCCTGTGGTCGGTTTTCTACGCTTTTCCACAACCGGTACGGGATCATTCGGTCGCCTTCTAAGTTTTCTTGTAATTGTAGGCTTTATCTATGTAAAAAATAAAAGTAATTTAAAATACTTTAATTTTATGTTAAAGGAAATTAGTGTTTTACCTCCATGGAATCATTTGTTAATTCCAGACTATATCTCTCATTTTCTATAACCTTTCTACGTTCTTCGAAATCTGTTAATATATTATCTTTAAGATCAATCTGAAATTAAAAGAATTATTTAATAAAATACTCAATAATCAATACATTTATTGAAGCGTACTTTTTTTTCATCATATTCTTTCTGTGCAGCTTTCTTTTCCAATATGTAGTCTCTTTCAACACACTCTTGTAGATAATCTCGGTAAATTTCATTGAGCCGTAAACGTTCTTTATACTGATTTTCCAATTTTTTCAATCTTTTCATATATTCTGGATGAGATAAATTTTTTAATTCTTCCAACTGTTTATTCAAGCTAGCCAACTTATGTTGATACATTCTATGGCAAAAAAAGAAATGAAAACTAAAAATCGACCACACACCCTGTAAAATTGTTTACTTACTGTTCCTTTAGTTCATGATTCGTGCCATTGGTATTGTGGGAGGCACTGCTATAACCCTGACTTCTTCCATTATTGCGGAATTCTGTTTCGCTAGCATCATCTGTATCTATATTTTCAATAAAACACTTATTTTAAATTTATTCTTCAGAAAAAAAGAAAACAAAAAAATCGAACCTTCTTCACTATCATAGGCATTCTGTTCATAGTTATTGGATCGTGAATCCTCGTTATAATCAGCAAAACGTTCGTCGTCACTTGCCATGTATGTATTTAAAGACATTTATTATGGGATGATTATTTTAATAAAAATCTTTTCTTTTAAATAATTTAATTTAAATTTTAATTAGAAAATTGACTTGCTCTACTAAACAAACTAACATCTTTTCGCAGCTGATTTGCTTGAGGTTTGTGTGTATACATTAAAAAAATCACGTATTCAAGCATGCTTCTTCTTTTCAATGTTTCAATCACACCGGATTGCTGACATTTACATACATACATATTTTTTAATAGATGTTTTTAGGTTTTCTTAATTAAGAAAATACTATATTTTTAATTTAACTTGCCATATTAGTTTGCTTCTTTGTTAGCATAGGATAAAATTTGTAACTGAATCAAATTTCCGTTTACCGAATAAGCTAAAATTTCGTGAATTCATGATACTTCTTATGACGAAATATTGTATATTCAAAAATTAGAAATTATGAGAATTATAAAGAATTAATTTATTTTAATCGAAAATTGTTTGTAAAAGTTTTTGTAGGAATTTATTTATGATCAATGCAGTACAATTTAATTGTCCTATAGGTATTTTATATAGTTTATTATATTTTCAATAATTTAGTTCTTAGAATTTCTTTATAATTATATCATTTTGTCTTGAACCATTGTTAAGTAGAAATTTGTAACCCCTTATGGCCTATAGGCTAGGTTATTGGATATTGTTAAATAAAATAAATATTTTTATTCGATTTTTCCAATAACTAAAACATAAAAACAGATTTTCTCAAATTTTTTTCATTACTTATAAATAAATTTTGCTGATTTTAAATAGTAGACATCTTGAAAACATGTTTGATCGAATTTTTCAAGATTTGGATTACGCAGTTATCTGGGGCTCTGAGAAAGTTTACATTTATAAAATGACCACCTTATTCACAAACAAAATTTTTATTTTATAAACGGTTTATAAATTAGATTTTGTATTGTATTGTTGTTTGTGAATAAGGGGGTGAGAGTATAAGTTTTCGATAAAACCTTTATAGAAAGCAAAAATCATAATTCTAAACAATTTTCAATTCCAAGTAAATAGTGAAAGTTGTTTAACTTCTATTTTTTAATTTTTACCAAAAAAAAGACTATACTAAACAAAATGTATTGAAATAATGGTTACGGAATTATAACCATTCTGTGCGACAAGGCTTATAATTAATATCTTGAATCATTCCAATTTGTTTATATAAAATTCTATTACAGATAACTTTTATAAAAATCTTAAAACTGTTACAATTAAGATTTCAAAAAACTGCTTAATTAACTAAATAAAAAGCGTTTTTTTTTCATTCTGAATTAAAATATATTAATACCGTTATTGATTAATCTAACATATATCCATTTGAAAGAAATGATTCGAGTTACAAAATAATCACCTGGTAATTGAGGCTTGCAATTAAAAATTTGTAAATTTTAGGTATATTGAGTTTTAACTATTTGAAAATATTTTTTTCATAGATAAATTATACTTTAACTATTTTATTAAGCTTCAAATTAATTCGAGTTAAAAACTTCATTCCTTCATACCTAGTTCGCAATTACTGATTGTTTAATTGAAATCTGATGCAAATTCAATGAAAATAATTTTGAAATATTTGCAAAAGAATGAATCTTTTGAAAAGGTGATTTGTAGTTTAATGAAAATTGTTTTAAATTTAAAATAAAATATACTAAATAAGGGGAATAATTCAACACGTTATCTGGGGTGTTACTTCATATTACTATTTCAGAAAGATTTTTGAGATGTTTTTGCTTTCAAATTGAATTACAGTGTAACACCTCATCACTAAGGAGTGTCTAAGAATTTGTTACTTATGTTTTATTGACTACAACTTTAAATTTTGAAATGCTAATCAAGGAATAACTAACCAATTTGGAGCCATTTTGAACTCTTATTCATATTGAGTATATTCTATAAGCAAGGCTTAAACTGTAATCATTAAACAAAACATGGCAATTTGAAACTAAAAACTATAGGTATAAAGGGATACAATCCTTAATACCTATATTGTAAAAAATGTTGATGAATTTTGATAATTTAAGTTGAGATTTTTAATCTTTCCAATGCACAACACACATACTGGAGTTTGTTGATATCATTTGTTTACAAATATTGTTAATCACATCACTAACTATAAATTTCTTTTATCTGAACAGATACTAATCCAAAATATTCACTTTGTTGACTTTCTTTTGTTTTTTGGGGAGAAATATATAAAATACACTTTTGTTGTCTGTTGTTTTGTTTCTTTTAAATATTTTTATATTTTATCATTTTCTTTTAAAATAGAAAAAACATCTTTGTTGCATGACGAACAAAAAGATTTATAAAAACTACTTGCAGAGGTTGAATATCACCCATGTCATATTTAACTTATTTATTGGGGACGACCACGACCGAAACCGCCACGGAATTCAACATCACCGGCACCAGCGCCTACATCACCCTTCTTATCAGCACCACCGGGGGCACGTCTGTAAGCAGAGCGATCTTCACCAGTCTTGCTAACATCACCGGAACGAGCAGCAGCAGCTGGGCGGGGACGTACAGTTTCGGGTCTGGTGGGACGCTTGAGAGTGGCGGGAACAATCTCAGGAGGCAAGTGCAAGTAGCTGCGCAAGAACTCAATACCTTCGTTGGTCAAGTACCAGTAGTAATGTCTCCAGGCGAATTGTTCCTTAACCAAGCCACGGGAGTGGAGGGACTGCATTGTTTTGATGACATGCAAGTTGGGAATGCTCTCGAGCTCGGGGTGCTTGGGAGCATGGGTATCTTTTTTGGCTACGATAACACCCTCTTTGAAGAGGTATTCGTAAATAGCGACACGATGAGCCTTTGGCATAAACATCCTGCAAATAGAACACAAAACACCAATTAGTTTATTTGTAATTATAATGTTCATCATCATTATTTATAAATCTATTCAGCTTTTTCTTCACAACATAAAAAACTCCTACCTTCAAGGTAGGAATTTTCATTTTATCCACTATTTATTTTTCAATAGACAAAAACTAATCGTTTTCACTGATACACTTTCCATATTATTTTTAATTTAAAATTATTTTCACATATTAGTTTAATGATTGTAAAGATTTTTAATGATTTTTTAAAGAATTTTACATACTTTAGCGTCTTCTGTGGAGCAGTCACCGGAAAGAAAGGAAAATCGAGTTGACAGCTGTCATTGTGTTGACATTTGTGTGCTGTTTGACTACTCAACAACAGGTGGCGCTTCTGTTGAAAAAGTGTGTTTATTTGTAATATATATGCTAATGAAACACATTTTTATTATTTTAAGTTGGCAATTCAGGGAGTTATATATTTTTTTTGTTATTAAAAATGTTATTTATTATTTTATTTATTTAAGAAAGACTTAAATATGGGAATTATAAAAAACGTTTAGGCTTTTTAATTATAAAAATTTCATTCATCGATTATTTTTCAAAAAGGTTTATAAATATACATTTATATAGAATTTCATATTAACAATATGTATATTTAGGGAATTACGACCAATTACACTGGGTAATAGACAAACATTTAATTTTTAGTAAATTATTTTTCAATTTCAAAATTTTGTAAATACATAAAAAATCAACAGAATACCCTTTTTCAGTCCAAAATATACAAACAATTTAATTTTTTCCAATTTTAAATCCATTTTCGACTTTGTATTAGATATTTCTTTGAAATCAAAACTAATAGAATTTGAATTTCAAAATTGAAAAAAATAAATAAAAAATATATTTTCCAAAAAAAAAAAAAAAAAAAATATATATATATATATATATATATATATATATATATATATATATATATATATATATATATATATATATATATATATATATATATATATATATATATATATATCATTGCCAATTTTAATTCGATTGAAATAGTCGATATGTTTAAAATTACCTTTCATAAAAATGGACTTAAAGTTAAAAAAATGGAGAAAATATTTAAAGAATACAGATTGTCTTTCTATTGTCGTTAAGAAAATAAAATCGGACTAAAGAAATTTGCTATACAATTTTTAAGTCGACTTCAATAAAAAACATTTTTTGTGGAATAACTTTCAATTTTCTGGGTATATTAGTTGTGTTTTGTTGCTATCAATGAGTGTTAACGCTTAAAGTTAGCAACAAAACGAACATTACCTGACTTGGCATCACTCCACAGAAGAAATCTGCTAAATCTTGAAATTATTTACATTTTCTTAAAAAAGGTTTTTTTATTTGATATTTTTTTTGATTTAAATTTTATTTTAAAATATTTTTTTATTGTTTGACATAAACACATTAATATTTGTATTTTTATTTTTGAATTGGTAGCACTTTTATCGACGTTAAAATTAACTTGTATAATTTTACACGTTAACTCCTAACGTTTATAAATTTTAAATTTATATGAAATTGCCTTTGAACGTTAGCAACAAAACACAACTATTAAAAATTGTAAATATGGGGTCTACTAGACCTACAAACTGCACTTGAACTAACATGAAGAGTATATAACCTTTTTGTAATTTTGTCTCATAGTGTTATTAACGAAATATTTTCAAAGTTTTTCAAATTAAAAAATTAAATTTTTTAAATTTTCAAAAACAACGAATTGGAAATTTAGAAAAATAAAATAAATGTAAAATTAAAATCTTTAAATTGAACGTAAGTGTCAAGGAAAATAAAAATTATCAGCTGATAGAATAACACCACCTTATACAAAATCCGACTCCGAATGACATTTCCTATAAATGTCAAATGTTTATTTTAGTTTTTATTATTGTAATATTTATTTATTGTATTATATTTTTTATATTTAATATTTATTGTAATAATAAATTTGCTAATATATGAATTTATTGTGATTTTGCAATTGAATAAAAGAAATAAAAATTTTATTTCAAATAACTACATAAATTTGTCCAATAAAGCCCCAATTTATTAATGAACAAATAACAATGGATGGCATAACCACCAGTATAAATGCAATATTAAAAAATTTGATTAAAAATTTTAATACATTACTCGATTGTCCTGTGCGTTTTTCAGGAGAGTATGATGCGAAGAAAGTGCACAATTTTATAGAATATATTGAGCATTATAAAAGAATAAAATGTATAGGTGATGAACAAGCTTTGCAAGAGCTACAATTTCTATTGCTGGATCAAGCACATACGTGGTGGCTACGTCGAAAAGCGAATTTAAGTACTTGGTCGGAAGCTCTAACAATCTTAGAAAACCAATATTCTAAACGAAGGCCAGCTCATGTAGTCTATATGGAAATACTGAAACATCATTACGGGGACTACGAGTCCAAGGATGATTTCATTGATGATAAAATTGAATTGTTTAATGAGTTGTCCCAACCTGAATTGAGGGAGGAAAATAAATTACAAATAATTTATGCATTATTACCAAATGAAATACAAAATAAAGTGAAAATTGTAGATGTCAGTAATATAAAAGCTTTAAAAGAACAATTAAAGTTAATTAAATTGGATAGTGGTCAAGTAGCTGCAAGTGCAGATAATGTAAGAACTGATACTAACTCTACAGCAACAGAAAACGTAACTTTTGCTGAAACACAAGATAATAATGCCAATAAGGATGCTGTTAATCAAGAACCAAGTGATCAGTCAACAGTTACGAGTACGGAAAGTAATGAAGATCCTGAAAGAGATCCTATAATTAAAGTTAGGCGAACTGAAGATTTAATGCCTGCAGATATTAAGGAAGAGGATGCCCCAACACAGCAGGAAGAGTTTATAACCACTAATACTGAATCGCAAAATAATGCAACACATATAAATCATGAAGATTTCCATATTGACTCGGATATAATGAATCAAATTAATAATATAATTGATGAATCAGAAATGAATATGAATGCCATAAACAACAATTTGGAATCTTCCTCAGTTGTAAAACCAGCAACAAATGGCATTGCCTCTTTGGAACTACTAGGTTTTAATATAAGAACGATCAACCAAGTTCAACCAGAAATAACGCCCAAAACATCTTCCGACAATCAAAGCAATAAAACTTCATTAAATGTAACAAAAAAATTAAAAATACGTTGCTCTTATTGTCGTAAGTGCAATCACACCGCACAAGTGTGTTTCAAAAGAGCCAAACATATGAAAGAATTTCCGGAAAAATTTCTGGGCTTACAAACAAAAGAAAACAATGACATTATAAACTCAAAAAATAGTGAGGAACCAATGGAAACTTTGCCATCAAATAATACTAATAGTAATATTAGTTCTCCAAATGTTTCTACTGCTGAAACTATCACAAAAGTACCAACTATTTTATCAACTACCTCAATACCTCAAACATCGCTTACAGCCACATCAAGCGTAGTTACAACTTCTCCTTCTGTGATTTTAAATAATATTCCTGAAAAGTGTATTAACTCCTCACTGTTGACTACTAAATTAATTGCACCTATTAATGGCAAAACAACATCAAAATTACGCAGCATAAATACACCATCGCCTAAATGTCATCAGTGTGGCACAGTGGGATTTTACAAAAGCATTTGCCCCAATTGTAGTCCTATATATAATAATAACAATAACAATCATAATCCATTTGGTAAATAGTAATATAGGGAAAAGCGTAACTATTGTACTTCTTTTTGGGAAGTAACTTTAATTTTAAGTATTTTATTAAAAGAATTTATTTGTACAATTATACGACACCAATTGCGAATTGTACAATTGTTTTATTTATTACTAGCTGGCCCGACAGACGTTGTTCTGTCCAAATTAGAAAAAATGTTTATGTTCGATTTGTAATTTTTGATAAATTGAAAAAAGTGGGCGTGGTCAATTATTCTTTCAGTAAAACTTTAAATTTGATTACTACGAACATGTTTTAAAAAATTTAGTCAAATCGGTGCAGCCGTTTTCCGATTTTAGATAAATCGAAAAAAGTGGGCGTGGTAAATTTTTCTTTCAGAAAAAACTTAAATTAGATTACTACGACCATTTAAATAAAAAATTTAGCCAAATCGGTGCAGCCGTTTTCCGATTTTAGATAAATCGAAAAAAGTGTGCGTAAAAGTGGACGTTGTCAATTTTTCTTTCCGTAAAAACCTAAGTTGGACTATGACGAACATTTCAGTAAAAAAATTGTCCAAGCCGTTCTCAACTGATGCAATTACCAACGAACGACAATTGATTTTTATTTATATAGATAGATTTTGTAGTATTTTATAAAAATATAAATAATTATTTTTTTGTTTCAATACTCTAATGAGGTTTGTAGGTTTTCTTTAGAAATAAAAAGAATTAGTCTTAATAAATGCGATTTATTGTAAGAACCTTCAATTCTTTTAAGTATTGTAAATCTATTATTGTATTTAAATTGTTAATAAGATTATTTAAATTTATAAATTAAGTACAACTCTTATATAAGTCAGACTTTTTGTTAAATAAGAGAAATAAAATGTGTATATTTTGCATGAAATTTTAAAATCTACTAAAGTTGTTGTTTTAAGATAATTTTTTATGAATTGATAATTATTTAATAATTCCAAAGTATACATAATAAAAATGCGTTTTAATTTTAATAAAAAATATTTATTTTAATATATTTTTTCTTAGTATTATTGTCTAAGTTTTAATAAATAAGGGACGTATAAAATACGAAACAAAAATACGGTCAAAATTTGTTTTATCTAACATCCATTGTATAAATAAATTAAAATCAATTCGTTACTTTACACAAAACATACTTAAAAGATAGTTTGTGTTACTATTCTATTCATTTTTTGATACGAAACAAATATAAGACTAGTTGATTTCTAAAAACTTATGCTTTGCTGGGATTCTCTGCAGGTACAGCATCAGCTGGTGCTGAGGTGGGTTCAATCTTCTTGGGTTTAGCATCACCACGTCCAAATATGGCCTTTTCAATACCCAAAATAGGTGATTCAAAGGCAAGGGTAGCGAAAATGGAGGCGGTTAAAGTTAAACCGAAGTCGTGCCACCAGCGAAGAATCTAAAAATATTTATAATAAGATGCAAAAGTCATAAATCTGTATAAAATTTTCTATATAAATGTAATGGTACTTACAGCATCGTAATCCGAAAAGTGTGTATCGGTTTGCAAACGAGCAGCATTAACCAACTGTACAATTCTGTGAATGACATACATGCAGTAGGTCAAACGACTGAAACCGGTAAAGAAGCCCCATGACAAGAAATCGTTGATGATACCACCATGTCCGTTGTAACAGGCCCAAACGATCCAGCCAATGGCAAGAGCCCAAGAGGTACGACTCAAGGGTTCAAAGATGGCACCTTCATAAATGGGAGAATCGGGATTTTCAGGACGGATACGCCAGTAAGGGCCCCACAAATCGGTAAGCATTACACCGAAAGCCAACAACCAACCAGTGATTACCCATTGTTTCTTCATGGGAATCTTGCGGCCGCGATTTTTGGTAAACAAGAAGTAACCAAAGATAACACCAATCAACCAGGTAGGGATACGGGTATGGGTGGGATAATAGGTAAGACGTTGACGTAAATCAACTTGATTATCTTGTACACGGAAGAGGGTAAAGTCGTTGTACATAAATGTTGCAACTGTACAACCCAAGCATAAAATAAGGAAAATGACAATGGGAACTAAGGCTTTCTTGCCCCATTTCCATAAGGGAATAAGGAAGAGCGGAGATAAAACATATAATTGGGTATCGACAGCCAAATACCAAGATTGACTGATACACTAATCATTTGTAAAGAAATTAGAAATAAATAATCATTGCTATTAAAAGTTATTTAAGAAAGTAATATTTGTTCTACTTACGATTTTGTAGGGGAAAGCATAATTTTGGACATACAATAAAGTTGCCCACCAGGTATCTTCACAACGTTTATCTTGTGTTCCCAGTTTCATCCACATGGGACCAGCACCAGAGTATTTATACAAAGACATAATGTATAAAATAACAACAGCGACCACTGGGGTCAAACGAATATAACGATGGAAGTACATCATCTTAATGTTAAGATAACCCTTGCTGTAAAGAAATGTGTATAATTTTTAGAAAATGAAAGAAGCTAATTTATTTAATTAATTGAAATCAAAGAAATCGAACATTTTATTTCATTTTCGAACTCTTCTGATTTAACTACTAATTAGGACTTAACATAATTATAAAGATGAATTGTACAACTTACGTTTTTTCCATTTCACGGAAGGCACCCCACAACATCAATAAACCAGACATAAAGAAGAAAGTATCGACACAGAGGGAACCGTTTTGTACCAACATAGAGTATGGAGTTTCAACCCACTAGAAAATTGAAAAACAAAAAAATAATAACTATTATAAAATCTCAAAGATCAACAGTAAAACTTACGGTATAGAATTTGTTTTTGTTAATATGGGGCAAGTCGTAGAAAGTCATATAACCATGACCGAAAACGACCCACATCATAGAGAAACAACGAATACCATTAAGACAATGAATTACATTAGGATTGTCAACCTTCTTGACAGTGAAAATCTTAGGAGCATTGGTAAGGACAGAGAAAGCCAAAAACAAAGGTTTTTTAGGTTCTAAATTAAAAAAAAGGAAAAGAAAATTAGAAAATATCATTTAAATTATAACGATGCTACAAACTTACGTTTATTTTTGGTTTGAATATAATCATAAATGGAACTGGCAATCATGCAGAACACAATAAAGCAGATAAAAACACTGAAATCGAAAAATGATGGAAAATTATTATTGATATTTCATATCAATATTAAAAGTACACTTACATGGCGAATATATCAATGCCACGCAATTCAATAGGTTCATCAATCTTACAGAAATCTTCTCTAATCATATCGGCGGTAATTTCTTCGCCATAATAAGTTCTAATGACTTCCTTTAAGATTTCATTAGTTTTAGCGGGCGAACAAGATTTGGGTACACAAACACCCAATTCAAAAGCCTCGGGGTCTTTGCGCTTGTAACTAATAGCTCTGCTCCATTCATCACGTTTGTTGATTTTGCTCATGAAACCCTTAATGGGAACCTTGGCCAAACAGTATTGACCTCTAATTTCATGATTTTCAGATACCATGCGTGTGGCAGCAATACATTCTTCAAATTGACCCATACTGATAGTATGACCCCACATAACACCGAAAGGTAAACGGCCCCATGAGTCGGGATCTGAGAAGGTAAGGTAGAAATATATATTTAGTAAAAAATTATTCATTTTATACAACAACTTTTAATAAAAGATTAAAAAATAAAGATTTATAAAATCTAAAGTTTCCCTGTAATTCTTTAATTTATTTTCTTTTTATTTCCTAAGATTTCATTTCTAGCATTAAAGTCTTTGATAGTCTAAGATGTCGGTAGATAGGGTATGTTTACAACACGGAACCGGTACGAATTGTTCAAAATAAAATGCGTATGATTATTATTTAACTTTTCAAATAATATATATATCATACGCTTCTAAATATTGATTTCATTTTTTGTTGAAAATTTTGTTAAAAGGACAAATAATTTAAAAATAGATGTCTTCAGTAAAAGCATTTTAATTAAATTGACATTTTTTTTAAATTCCTCCACAAATACTTTGTGGTCCTTCCTAATTTAACTTGATTAAATAAAAATAATTAGCTAAAAATACTTTTAAAAGCTAACAAATCATTCTACAGGTTGAATGAATTTAAAAAGATTGCGCAAATTCCATTATCTAAACTGAATGTATTAACGTATTTTGTGATAGATTACTAAGTTGATTATTTAAAATTTGTTAAAAATATTAGTTATAAATGCAATAACTTCATAAAAATATTCCACCACCTAAGGTTGGATTATTTTATGTTTTTATTTATGTTATTTATACGAAAATATCGTTTTTTTATTATTCAGATTGTAAATCTTTAAAATCCACTTCAAAATGTACTAATACTAATAAGTTAACAATCATTAATTGGGGGAAATTTATTATGCTTCAAAAATACGTAATACTATTTTATAGAGGAATTTTTGATTTAGAGAGATTAAGTGCAAAATAAAAGATAAGCTTCAGTTAATGTTCTCGAAATCAAAATTAGCCTTGTTTAAAATCTGTGATATTTATAACAAATAAAGTTGTTTATTAAATTAAAAAAGATTTACAGCAAAATATTATGATTTTTTAAAAATATATTTTTGCATATAAAATAGAAAATCTTATAGAAAAACTTGCAACACTTTCATAATCTTGGAACTTTAGTTATGGCAAAGGATTTGAAAATGGACTTGGAGATAATGTTTAACAGTTAATTAAATTTTAAAAATTTGAATTCTACTAAAGTTATTGACACTGTACAAGGTTGAGTAAAATAGAGAAAATATTTACCCCCTTATTCACAAACAAAATTTTTATTTTATAAACTGTTTATAAATTAGATTTTGTATGGAAATTTAGTTTTATAAACCTTTTATATAATAAAAATGTTGTTTGTGAATAAGGGGGTTATTATATTGGCCTTATTCATAACAGTTTTATAAGACAAATTTTCATACAAAATTTGTTCTATAAACCTTTGATAAATTCTTATGAATAAGAAAGTATAACGTTAATATACACTTTTCCTTGTTTTCACAAATATAATTGTAAATTATTTAAGTTTAAGAACTTTAAATCGCAGTTATAGATCCTTTTTGAATTGGAACATTTTTAATATCACATTTTTTGTTTCAAAATAATGAAAAAGGATGCTTTTTTCACTGATAAAAATTTCCATAAATTTTGAACTTTTTCACACATTAAACATAAATTATTATACATATGTATATTTTTCTCAATGCTTACATTCAATTGCCCATTCATCGTAATTGCGTAGACCATTTAATACAGCTGCAATATCAGTATCACACTGGGTATCGTCGTAGGTTTTATGTGTTGAAATTGTAACATTTCCAAATTCAGAAGATATTTGCGAACCGATGTCAAAGAATGCATATGCTAAATCACTTTTGAATGGAGACTGTCCAGCAGTCAATTGTTTATTCGATAAATCCTCAGCTAGAGTAACACTAACCAGCACAAGAAGTGCCAACGACACACCCGTCAGGATATGTCGAGCCATTTTTTGCGTACACACCGTTTAACACTCGTCGAGCGTTGTACCGTTAAAGACTATATGAACTGACGTAAAACTAGTAGCTTTTATAGCTAATTCTTTTGATTTTGATTATCTTAGCCAATTTTTAAATCGCTGTTGATAATAACAACAAATTCGTATACCTGTGCTTAATATAAATTTATTTTTTTTCAAATTTAAATGGGAGAGAAATTTGAGTAGGGTGCGCTATAAATTTCTACAATTACATTAAATGTTTCATCGCATTTGTTTTAAAATTTTATGGAAATAACTTTTATCTCATGAAAATTGGGTTTTTAATGACATTTTGTACCCCAGTACATCAACAATTAACAATTTTTTTAATTCTTTCTATTACAAAATTAATAAAGGATTTTATTATTTAATTTTCCATTTAAAATTGAATGCTATATGTACTTATATGGGGAATTTCGTGTTAAGTGACCCAACTTTTAAAATCGATGACTTCCGATTTAGCTCTTAAAGGTAATGGTCTAAGCTTTCTTTTGAGCAAAAAAATACAGCAAAAACGCCGATTTTGAAAAAATAAAAGAAAATAAAGTGCCAAATATTGAAACCTAGGACCAATAGGTGAAAAGTTACACTCATTTGAATAAAATCCTGTATGACCAAAATGTCCAACTTTGACCCCCTCTAAATCCGGCAGTACTTGACCGATAGAGCTGAATATTTGTGTCTGGCCTACTATCCAATAGTACTAATCTTGATGCAAATTTCGTCAAAATCGATTTTTTTTGAGTTGGGTCACTTGACATGAAATTGCCAATATATATAATTAATTCATTCATTTCAAGAATTTCATACTTAGATTGAAATGAGCATAATATGTAAATCTATAATGGACTTTCTGTATAAATATTCTGGATAAATATTTTTTTCCTTAAGAGCATGGTTTCAAACTTTAACCTTAGATATACATATGTAAATACAGCACGATAATGTCTTCTGTAAATAGGAATCATTTAAAAATTCTGCAAATTTTGATTCTTAACAGTTTATGTAGGGTATACATAATTCCAATTGAAACCTAATACTTCTTAAATTTATACTAGATTTTATTTTTGATAATAAAACAAATCTTTTTTTTTTGATATGGAATGAGTAAGTAAATTCTAGTTCCTTTAGCGAGTTCATTTTATTGTTAATCTTTTTTTTTTATAGTACTTGCTTTATTATTTTTAACTACTGTATTGGTCAATAACGTAATCAATTGAAATTGTTTAATCTATACCATTAATAGAAGAGTTCAATTCATTAAGTATTTTTTTTTCGCACTCTTATCTTTGGCTTTTTGAAGAGTAATACAAGTATTCTTTAGATTTATAAACGTACTTTCTTCGATGTAAGTGTGTGAGTATAATAAATTTATAATAAATTTTTAAATAAAACAACACATATTGGAAAATCCTTAACGTTTTTAAATCGTATGATAAGTAGACTTTGTATATACTTATGATTGTTGTATGTACTTTATGGGAAAACGTTTACTAATATACATAGATAGCAACTTTGAAATTTTTAATTAAATTAATAAATCTAAATAAAGCATTTAAATGTATATGATAGAAAAAAATCCAATTTTTAGTTCAATACCAATATGATATCATATCAATTTCTCATACACAATTAAAAGCTTGTTTGATTTACCTTCAAATTTTGTAACAGATATAAATAAACTAGTGAAATTTAAATAATTTTTTACCAAAACAATTATAGTTAAAATTAAAAAATAGTATTAATTTAAGAGAATTTAATTTAATAAAGTAGCGAAATTAAAATACTTTATTAAAACCATAAGATTTGAAATTTCTAAATATGTTTATACATTTGTTTAGTTAATAAAAATGTTATGCATTTTTTAAAATATGTAGTCTAATAGTCTACTTAATTATTATTAAAAACAAAAACTACATATTGGAAAACTAGGATTTTTAAAGAAATGCACAAAAGCTAAAATTAAAAAAAAACTATTTCTTTAACCAATTTTTTTTAAAATTAAAACATAAAATTAAAAAATTTTTTTTAGTTACATATAATAACTAAAATTTTCAATAAAACAGCTTTAAAAGGACTTAAAAAGACATGCTAAATTTAAAATCTTTCCAACATGTACTTATTTAATCTAATCTCGATTGAAAACGTTTTAAGATTGTGATTTATTTTCTATAAACTGTATATACACAATGAAATTAAATTATAAAAATAAAAACTCATTTCCCATTGATTATCAAAATATTATTTATATTTAAGGAAATCTTAAAATTTGAAAAAAATAATTTTAATTTAATATTAAGTATGATTTCATACTTAAGGAATGACCTTCATAAGAACTTTAATATTTGGCGGGGTTTCAATATATTTCGTTAATTATATCATTATTAATTTATTATTATAAAATATTGATGAGTGTTAGTGAATGAAAACTGTTATATTTTAATAACATTAAATTTAATTCATAAATAGTTATAAGTAGATACAAATACGATACAAAAAATGGGTCGAGAGTGATCAGAATAAGTGCTCATTAAATACTCTTTTAGAAAAGAACAATTTTCAAAAAAAAAAAAAAAAGCTTTCACATAATAAAAGTTGATATAGCAATTCTTCATACTCCAATTATAATCTGGTCCTTATAAAAGGACTTCAAAGTTTAAAGGAATTACAATTTCAAACGAATATATTGAATATTTATATGTGTTGTATTATGCTAATATTGGTATCAAATGAAAGCTGGGAAACTGTACATTCTATCTAAATTTAAAAAAGGTCGCATTTTTCAAACAAAAGTTTTTAACTGCTTTTTTGTGACCAATATTCTTGGAAAGCTTTCATTTCCTTTTTAATCCTGGTGAACTGAAATAAGTAATATTATTTTGAAGCAGAGGTTCTTAGCTTCATTTGATATTAATACAAAATTTTTTATATAAATTTTTGAATTCCATCTTTTGAAATCGTATGTCCTTTAAACTTTCAGGTTCTTTTACAGGGATATACCCAGCAAAAATAAAACGAAGTACATCCAAAAGAATAACATTTATCACCACTTCAAAAGTAGCACTAATTGATTTTTTTACCTTCTGAGGAAGTGATTTTTAAAGATTTCCGAAAAAGCGAAAATAATTATATTTTTTCAATGTTGAAGATATATTTTTTGTTCTTTCATTTTTATTAGATAAAAAATTTATATTTGGGCTTTTGTATTTAATGTTTCTATTACCTTTAGTAATGTTAATATTATTTACAACCCAGCAAAAAAAATTTGAAGTTGTTAAAGAAGAAGGGATATTTTCATGATTTCTTTTGTACGTATTCTATTTAATGCGTTTTAAATACATGCCTAAATTCTAATAAATTTGTCATCAGTGAAGGCATGAAAAATGCACCCAAATTCACTCATGTAACTCCACTATAGGAATTGTAATATTTTACTATAATTTGGTATTCTCTTAGGAGATTTAACGAAAACGTGCATTTCATACAATAAATATTAAAAATGACATTAATTTTTTTATTAGATTTTTGTTTTTGTAGGTACCTACCTACCTAGTAATATTAAGTCCATTTTAACATTAATAAGAGAAGGAAAAAACCAAGACTGTTTAACGGATTTTAAAACACAATGGGTATTTTTCCTCTGCATGAATTTAAATCCAATAAAAATCAGTTAGCTATGTTTTACCTTATTTTATTTTTATCAATATCACACAAAAAAATTATTTAAATATTGATAATTAAATCGAAATACCATTATTAATGCATTTTTAAATAAATATAGTGCACCAATGAAAATTCGCTTGAGAATCATCGAATATTCATTGGTTATAAGAACTCATTTAAATGGCGAACTATTTTTCCAAATACGAACACATGCATGCCAATGACACGCTAATGTTAAAATCATGCATGTTTCCCCTAAATATGAACCAGTTCATTATCAGTTCAACCCATGCATTTACTACTTTTTTTGCACGTCTTTTTTTGCTGGGTAAATACTACAATTTCACTTCCGAATAACTTCCAATAAAGAGCATTAAAATTATTCTTGAGAATGACTTCAGATGTAGTGAATTTGGAATCAAATAAAAAGGACATCCCTCCTATGACAAGCCTGTGTTAAAATCATCACTTCTTCAGGTCTTTTTCAGTACTTCCATGGAGTAAATTCTACTTCTTTTTCGCTTCTTTGGAAGTTCTTTTTTTGCTGGGTAAGAGCTGATTATGAAAAACTGAGTACACAAATTTAATACGTAGACCATTAGTATTAACTCGTGTGTAGTCAGTTTCCTGTAAACATAGATTTTTTTCATGTGTGAAAATTACAGTTGCAAGGTGTTGTTGAAGGATTATAAATGACTCGAATGTGATCAAAAAATCTAAAAAGTGATTACTGGGAATGTACAATCAGCTTTCGTTTTAAAAATTCTCGAAACTATTTTATTAAGTTAAAATTGTATAATAAAAAAGATTTCAAAGTTTATATAGGTAGTACCAACATGTATATATTAGAGCCCTGCATGAGTGACTTAAATAATAAATTAAAACATTTGATTTTTTTCAAACACTGTGTTTGACTCACTCATTGTTTTATGAATGAAATGAATAGTATATTTGAAAATAAGGAATGTTAGTCAATACTCAATTCAAACGAAACAAGCAATGAGAGTGTTTGTGTGATTCAATTCAAGTAGTATACAGTGAGTGAATCGAGTGAAAGCAAAACAATTTTTAAGTTCGACAAATTAACAGATTTTTTGAATATTACTTCGAATTTTCGAACTTAATTTCGAATAGTCGAAGATAATATAGTAGCGTCATCAACTGTACTTAACACTGCCAAATTTCAGCCAATTTGGTCCACGGAAACTGGTTTTATCAGCTTTAAATTTTTTTCGAACATGAGTTCGAATTTTCGAAAATTTTTTTTTAGTTTTTTGGACTCAAAGAATAATTTAAAAGCATAAAAAAATTTTTCGAACATAACTTCGAATTTTCGAACTTAATTTCGAATATTCGAACATAATA